GAGTGGCTCGGCGGCGGAAGCGGAGGTTCCTGAAAAGGAAGCTTGAGAGAGAGCAAGAGAGAGGTTTGTGCGTGTACGGAAATTTTTGTGTGCCTGGGACACAGCAGGCGATGCAAGAGCCCCCGGGTACGTCTGCCAGTATCGCCTGGCCCTGCTGCTAAGAGACTCATGCGGCTCCTCCGCAGGTAAGATGGCACACACAGAAATTGTCAGAGTCGTGTCAGACGTGTCATGCGGGCTCCTGAGGCTTCCTCAACGTGCCAGGCGACAACCACTTCAATGGCCATGTAGAAATGTTGCAAGGAGTGTCTGGCAAGTGGAATCGTCTCATCTCGAAAGCCCCTTCAGCAAGAATCTTCCGGACGGCTTTCTGCTGCTTCTCATCCAAACTCCACTTGGTTATGTTACCCTTGGCAGCAACAGAAGTATTGAACCTAATCGAGGCATCAACCACATTCAGCACTGGCCCAATCGCGAAAGGATTGAATCTGCACCGCTCGCTGTGTTCCCCTACACACCTGCACTCGATTCGCTGCACATATTCCTTGAGCTTATACGATGCAGCTACATGGATCATGCCAACGATGCAGCCTGTCTTGAGGCCCTTGGTGTGCAAATCCGGGCACAGGTGCAGTATCTCCTGCGGGTTCGGGTGAGGCGTCATGCCGATATGGACACAAACCCATTGATCAGCGACCGAAAACCGACGGTTTTCCACTTGCTTGTAGCCTTCCAGCAAGGCCCCCGCCAACTCTGCGCCCATGAGCGTGATTGCCGATCGGCATTCTGACGGAGGTTGTATGTTCAGGGCTGACAGAGGTAACAAGGGCTGGAAGTGTCCTTCCTCATGGGAGTCTTCATCTGCACTCTGTCATGAACAATATTCTCAGAGGGTCGCTTCCTTCCGGAATGTGGTCACTACCAAGAACCTCTGGTACCAGCTCATGCTCCGACGAGTTGAACAGAACAATGCGCCGCTTCAGAACACGGGCGATGAGTGTGTGATCATCCCCCACTGTTTGGTGGCCGGCTCTCAGACGATCCCGCAACGGCAAGGTGTTGGGCAACTCGCCGCTCTCTTCTGCCTGCAACAACAGCGAAACCAGCTTGTGGGCCATCGCTTTCTGACCTGAGCCAACGAAGACACAAAGATGGCACATGCGATGTCTGGCAGGGATCGGCCGAGTAGCACTGTTCCTCCAAACACATCCGTTCGATGTTAACGGGCATGGACGTCCGCGATCTCGGAGCATCCCTCCACGCTCGCTGTTGCTCAACATCCGCTTCCATCAAGATAAAGATGCAAGACACAAAACATCGTCCATTCTGCGGTACTCGGACCGCCTGTCGGGAGGGGCTGGGTACTTCAAATGGATACTTCTAGAAGCCTTCGACCTTATGTATACATGCACAAGCATATAATCACTCTGCTGACTCGATTAATACCAACATGCCTCGAAACCTTCCGGAACCAGGAAGGGTTGGCGCTGACCCACAGCGCAAGGCACGTCCGGTCTTAGCATTGGGCAAGCAACAGGATGGGAAGCCGTCCCATGCAGCACATCCCGGGGCCGTGACCCGGGGGTTTCAACTTCACCTGCAACACCACGCCTGAGCGAGGCCAATAGATAGATCGTCGAAGCTTGGATCAGTATCTTGGACAGCTGCTGGCGACACTTGAAGCCGCAATGCATCATTTTCGCTGGCACCCATCAGCACTGCACAAACGGGCCGAGCCGAGCAGTTTCTCTGCCTAGGAAACCAATGCTATCGTGCGCCTGCTCTGATGGATTCCCCAAATCTGCTGCTGACATATCCCCTTTCACCGAATCATGCACCCAACGATCAGCTGTTCGCCGGCTGGGCAAAAATCGAGGGATCGCTCACAAAAGCGGCAATCGCGAACCTGGGCCGGTCTTCTCATTTCTCTCTCGCTTCTTCCCTCGCATGTGCCATCCATTTTGTGCTTGCTCAGAGGCGGATAGCCGGGAGAAGCAGCACTCGTATGCAAAAAAACAGGGCATCCGAGGGTTGCCGGCAGGTTCCAGGGTTTGGGCTTTGACTTGAGGCTGCACCCCACAATGCCAGTCCAAAGTCCTGAAGTCCCGAAGCCAACGGAGCAGACTGAGGTTGCAGCACCTGGTCCACGGCCACCGTCCAGGAGACAGGTCCTGCGAAGTCAGACAATGAATGCAAAAGGAAGAACAAGCTAACTACACAGACAGTCACAAACAGAGACCAGCGACTCCAAAAAAATACAGCAAAGCCCTGAAGGAGAGCAAGTATGAACACCCAAAATACGACGACACTGGGAAACCTACGGGTTAGGGACGCAGGGCACTCGCAGTGCAGACGGGGAAAGCAAACCTACAGCCGGGGCCGAACGGGACGTCCAAACAAACAATCTCAGGGCCTCAGGCAGCAGCTCCATGAAGCCGCCAGCCAACTCGCCACAACCTTGGGCGCACGACAAAGATGGCACATGGGCAGCAACGGCCAAGTTTCAAGCCAGACCCAGCCCAAACTCACAGGTTTACTCATGCGAAGAGATATCCCAAACCCCGCAAGGCGCAGGCCGGGCACAAGGATGGCACACCTGGTCGGAAGGGCAGGACGGGCTTCGGGACAACGGCAAACCTCTGCCCAGCGACCTCCCCCCTTTCGCCCTCCCCTCCCCCCAACCCCTCTTCCTAGTGCTGGGTGCCCAAAACTGCACCCCGCACCACCCCCAATGTCGCTGAGTCCAAGTCCAAGGCCGAATACGAATGGCATCTTAGTCGCTGCTTGCAGCCAAAGCAACACCCGGAACCAACCAAAACCCGGAACCCCCCAAAGCCTCGTAACTTAGAAAAAAGAAGGGCTTGCCTGAGAAGATGAAGCCGAAGATGACGGCGACGGCGAAGTTGAGGTCAGGCCTGGGCAGCACGAGAAGAAGGCAAGAACATGCGCACGGGGAAGCTCCCGAAGAGAGGCATGCAGGGCACTCGGCAGGCACCAAGCAGATGGACCCAATCGCACTCCGGGCCCCAGGCTGCTGCGAGAGCCGGTCCCACCCGAGCGGACAACAATGATGGCACATGACGCGAGCACTAAACCTTACGGGCTTGTCGATAAGAGTAATAAAAGGAGTTTGTGGTATGCCTATACCTTCGGCCTTCCAACATGCCAAGCTGTAGATTGGTTGGGGGTTTACGTTCCATGCTCCGAAAGATCCAGGGCCACAGAAAACAGCGACGGCATGCGGCCCAAGTTTGCGCAAGATCAGTCATTCCCTGCAGCACACAGGCGTTTGCAGATGGTCTGAGCATCCAGCTCCATCCCGACAGGAGAGATGTCAGCTGAGAGATGTATGCACGAAAGACGTCTGAGCCAAACGGCCGTGTGTGCCATCTATTTTCGCGGCCTATGGCCACTGGGCCAATCAATCCCTCGACGATTCTATCTGGTATCGAATTTTCATATGCCATCTATTGGACCGGTAATTCTACGGAATTCGGATGCAAGCTTAGAGCCCCCTTTGCGGCCATTAAGATGGCTTTCGGTCGTGTTTTTTCCCGAGCCATCTTTTCGGGGACTCCTATAAGCTAGTATATTAGGATTCCCCATTTTCGGAAGCTCCCATATGATCCGAAATAGCCCTAGACCCCGAACCCCAAACCCCTATATACAGCGAACTGAGCATGGCTCAGGTTAGCTCACGATGTGCATTGAGATCCGGTACGTCTTTACTCCAGAGAGTTTTGCGTTTTGAGATGCTGGTGTACGGGTTTAGGTTTCAGGGGTGACGGCATGATCCGAAACTGTAAACCTGGAACCCGAAAATCAAACATAAACCGCCGTGAATCCGACAGCTGAAATCCTGAGCCAGAAAACCCTACCCTAAGGCCCCAAAGTTGTTCCTTTTTGGGATTACCTTATAGGATTCTAAAGATGAACCCCAAAAAGGAACTACTTTGGGGCCTTAGGGTACACTGAATACAGACTCCAAAGCTTCCAAATCCCAAGCCCTGAGGCCACGGCGTTCGCGCTTGGGATATGAACGGTTCGATACGGAACAAGAGTCAGTGTGTTTGGGTGACACACACTTCGGAAGATTGAGCCGAGCATGGCAAGTGCGATGGTCGTTTGTTGGGTAGAGTCCCCATACAGTAACAGTCTTCAATAGGGCTACGATCAAGGCCGAAAATATACATATAAAAAAATATATATATATATATATATATATATATATATATATTATGAATATTGTCCAACTGTTGCTGAGAGGGGGCAGTACCCAAGTCGTTTGCTTGGAAGCCCAGAAGACTGATTTAGTCGATTCTTAGCAGGGCGATTTTTGGGGGTTACTGAATTTGGGGTGCTTATTCAGTCCCCTGGGCCATCAAATACGGTTTAGGGCGTCTGAAATCTGGAATCAGGCGTTCCGGCTCCGGAGTAAAGTAAAGAATGTCAGGGATTAGGGTTTTTTAGTTTCTGAGGATAAGACTTTAAGGTGGGGGGGATTTGATCTAGCTCAGGTCCAAGGACACTTAACTCAGTTCCTATACTTACATCAATCGTTGCTTGCAGCTGCTACTATGAACAGTCTTGGTCTTGCATAAGAATATCACTGTCTCTGGGCTGTACCACGTTGTTAGTGTTGTTCCTGCAGTGCCAGTGTTCATCTGCTATGACGATTTGTTACTGATACTCGCGGTCATCATTGTCGTTGCAGCATCAGCACCATGACAATTGCCATCGCTGTTGCAATCATGTGGGGGTTTACACGACGCTCATCAACTCCTGTGGATGTTGAGGTCTATTTGCATCATGTCACAATACATACGCATCCAGACGGGTAGATTCCGTTGAAGCCATTACCTCCCCAATTAGAATTGAATAAAGCCGACCCAATGGAAGCCGGCCCTAAACCCCAAACTCCCTACACCCTAGGCCCTCGACCCCGAATAAAGGTCTAAACCCCATGCACCCGAAGACAAGCGGATCTGCTTCCCACGGGCCTGCGCATAGGCGTTCCAATCAGCCTGGGCCACGGCCAGCTTTTCCCGAACCTGCCAAGGTTGCTTAGGGTCTAGGGTTTAAAGGTTTCGGGTTTAGGGCCTAGGGTTTATTGAATCACGGAAAACCTACACGCCAAGCTCCTAAAGTCGCAACCTTCTGAACCCTGTAACCGTAAAGGTCCATGTACCTATATAGGGACTACTTTAAAGCCAAAGTATATACTATTTGGGTACATGGACCCTTAGGGTACGATCCTGTAAGCCCTGTGTGGAACAGATCAGGAGTTGGACCTCCACCGGGGCACTGTGATGGCTGAGCCCAACGACGTGGACCTGGCTTGATGTCACGGCGAAGGCTTGGAGCTTAAGTCTTTTTGGGTTCGAAGAAGCCGGAATATGGGGGAGCACGGTCGCCATGATCGCTTTAGGCTAGCTATAAGCTTCTGAACCAGCACATGAATGCAGGGCTGGCGTGAATGTGCAGTTCTGTGCAGAACCTGTGCTACTTTCACACGAAAGAAGCTCGACTGTGAATCCAGTGGTTCATGCTACGATCCTACAGCTCGTTGCTTCATTGGTCAGGGATGGTGCATTGGCACCAAAAAAGAACAACGGAGATCATGACATCCCGAATCCCTAGCCTTCCCAGTCAGGATTGACAGAGAAAGGGAATGAGACTGTGTCCATGCAAGCATCCTTACTACTGTCTTGTTCTCCCTTGTCCATTTCTCTGCTACGTCTCCATCTTTTCCACTGATGCAGAACTGCTGCTACTACCACCACTACTACGACAACGATTGCCACCACCACCTATACCACAACAACTACTGCTGCTACTACTGCTACTACTATACTAATTACTAAGTACTAATTACTATTTCATATTCTGTGGCTACTGCTGCTTTTTGCATGCAACAAAAACGACAGCACCGACAGCAGCAGCAACACCAACAACAACGACGACACAGATGGATCCTGAAACCCACAGTCCTTCAAGGACATGTGGGATTTGCGTCAATGGGTGGGGTCCTCTTAGGTGCCGAGTTCATAAGCCAAAAAAAGTTTAAACTTTCAGTTTTAAGAGGGTTTCATTATCCCAAAAAGTTTAAAGTTCATAAACTCAGCTACTAAGTCCTGTTGTTAGAGGCTATAAGTATCCTACTATGTGGGTCTTAGCGCCCAAGTCCTGATCCCTGAAACGTTTAGGGGGTTTAGGGCTTATAGAGTCTGCACATGAAACACTCGGATGCCCAGTAACCAAGGAATAAAAAGGGCTCCTTTTTTTGTATTGGGTAACTTTATGAGGAACCTAGGACTACAGAAAGGGAATAAGGGTACTACAGGGCATCCTAGACTAAGGATCTTCCAGTATGTGGCAGCTCGCCCATGCTTTCTCACTGAACCCGTTGATCACTCCGGGAAGCCCTGCAGACGACTGCATTCCGACGCAGTTCAAAAACCCCCCCAAACCCTAAGCCCCTAAACCTTAAACCCTAAACCTCAAGCAACCTTGGCAGGTTCGGGAAAAGCTGGCCCAGGCCGATCCCAAACCCCAAACCCCAAGCCGTTAAACCCTAACCCCTAAACCCTAAGCCCCTAAACCCTCAAACCCCAAAGCAAACCGAAGCCGAAGCGAGGCCCGACCTCCATCATTGTGTCAACCTCAGCACAGGCCGCTCTTGATGTAGAGTACGAGGCCATAGAGTGAGAAGAACAAACGATAGAGCGAAGAGTGACACGGGAGTTTCCGAAAATAGGGGACCTTAATATAGTATCCTAAATAGTCGGATCCTTATTATAAGGACCCCAAAATACGGTACCCCCAATCCCACACCGAGATAGAACGCTAGCAGCAACGGCGAATAGGGTTTGGGAGCTTCGGGCTTATGGAAAACTCAAAGCCAAGTTTGGCGTGGTCCGTAACCGATAGTAGTAAGTGTTCTAACCTTATTATCATTACAGCGACGACGCGACCCGAAACAAGGCTTGACCCCCATACCAGCTTGGGTGTACTTGGGTCTTTACTTGCGATGTCCTGAACAAGTAATCTCCTGCATGCACATGCTGCTACTTCTTCTGAGAGAGTTCTAACTGGATACACCCGCAAGAAACCTGTGGTCAACCATAAATGGCATGCTGAAGATAGATGGGTGATTATCAAAATTATGGTCCCTTTCTGGGTCCCTGTTATCATACGACCTAGATTTTTTAGGGTACCCAAAAGAGGACCTCAACTATGAAAACTACCCATATGAGACTCGTGATGAATAAGCCCCCCCCCGTTCTGAAGTGGCAGCAACATCAAGATGCCGGAAGCAATCCATGCTACAGGAATCATAGGGACCCTTAGGGGTGTAGGGGGAGGGGGGGTAGGGGGCCTTAAGGCCCATAATAAGGACTAATAAGGCCTATTTAAGGAAATATAGTCCCCTACCCCCCCTCCCCCTACACCCCTAAGGGTCCCTATGAAGGAAACAGTGATCAGGGGCTCTACCAGGCCCTATACTTGCTGGGCCATAGGCGGGTGCGAGGTTGCGTTGGTTTGTTGCCGGGAAGTTGCCGTGGAAACAAAGATATAGTCGGCTTTCGCTGGGTGCAAAGAAGAGATGTTATTTGTTTTGAGGTTTTTTTGAGACAAAATGAAATGCTGGGTGCCTCAGCCGCACAAATTGGGAACTTCCCCCCCCAAAACTTGAGTTGCATGTTTTGAGGAAAACAAAAAAAGCTTTATCAAGCAACTTTGCTCAACATTGTTTCCGCCCTATAAACCCATAACAAACCCTAAAAACCCTAAACCCTATAAACCCCAAACCTTCTAAACCCAAAAAACCCTAAATCCTATAAACCCTAAACCTCATTAGCCCTAAACCCTATAAACCCTAAACCCTCTAAACCCCAAGCCCTACCGCCCTGCAAACATGCAGAAGCAGCCCAGGCGCACATCGACCTAGAGCCCTCCATCGGAGGTTAGACAATCCCCTCCTCAATTATTCTCATTAGCCCTAATCAGTTCATAAGCCCCATAAAGTGTACAATTTCAGCTTTAAGCGGGTAGTATTATCCCCAAAACGTTTAAAGTGTATCCACTCAGCTGCTAAGGGTAGCTTATTCAGGAGTCCTAGTATCAAGGATCCTCCGATTTAGGATTCGTCACTCATGAACCGTAAACCCGAGACTAGGGCCCCCAAAAAGCACATAAGCAAAAACAGGGTAGGGATATCCCATATAATCCCCTTATAGTGAAGCCCAATAAGGTAGGGATATCCCTATTAAATGCTTATGCTTATGTGCTGTTTGGGTACCTATGTGAACAACAAAGAAGCCCACGGCCACGGGCCCTGGCGCCATCATCTGCACGGAACCCGGTCAAAGATTCCACCTGGCTGTAGATTGAGTATACGGTTAAGGCTCGTTTCTAGAGTTCGTACGTCTTAGGGCCAGGGCCTACGTTCTAATTATATAGGTTTGAGTCTTAAGTCTTAAGGGCTTGCTGGTCAATACTTCAGGGTCAAGCGACGCGTTTTCATCGCGGTGTTTCGAGACGGAGTGGGCCGCGGTTGTACTTGGTCCCACACACACCTTGCTGATTGGGATTATCCGAATGACAAAACTAGCTATACACCAAACGTTAAACTGATCCACCAAGCAGTTACCTAGACCCCCAGGCCCCAAAGTAATTCCTTTATGTGGTTCATATATAGAATCCTGTACGGTAATCCCAAAAGGAACTACTATATGGGGCCTATGGTTTGTTTAACGACCATTGCTTCAGTACGTATGATCGGAACTGCAAAGCCTGCTTGGAGGTCCATGGGTAGTTATAAGTAGGGTTATAAGTATGGTAACGATACTTGTAACTCATGTTAGGGGACTTATAACTATACTTATAACTACCCATGAACCTCCAAGTGGTGCGAGAGAGATTACACTTCAACCTCCTCACTGCACCGTCTTAGAAAATCTCCAAACCTGAAGCCCACCGTGGGATGGATGCGCATCCTCTCTGAGCGCTTCACCGCGTCCTTCTCCACTTTGCCGACCCAGTCCTGGCGATGGGTCCACACAGCATCAAGACTTAAGATCTTGCTGGCTTTATTAGTAAGGTATCTTCACTGTGTCCTTGCACCTGCAGCATCCATTCTCAAATCCCGCACCTTGTGTACACCGGGCAAGATGGCGCTGGAAGCAGCCTATAGGGTTCAGGGTTCAGGATGTACGCGCCAAGCCCTGCAACTCTGCAGCCCACCTAACCCTAGACCCTCACTGAGGCCCCCTAGTAAAGCACTGAACCCTTACACCTTAAAGCCACGGAACGTCTAAACCCGAAGTCCTTCCTAATTCATGCACCCCTGGCCTTTTCAAACCCCATCCAACTCCCATAAAACCCAGTCGAGATCCAATCAATGCGTTTTAGAACCCGTAGCAGACCTGGCAAGGCCGTATTATAAGCCCTCTAAACTCAAACCATGGAGGAACATGCTATCAAAAGCCTGTACGTCGATATGAACAGAAAACCACAGTTCTGAGTCCTACACCTTTTATAAAAGGATCCGTATGGGAGTTTCCGAAATCAGGGGTACCTTATTTTGGGGGTCTGTATACTAAGGATCCTATTATTTGGGGTACTATATTAGGGTCCCCTATTTGCGGAAACTCCCTTATAGTCGTCCCTATGTAGTCTCCAATAGTCGTCCCAATACCCCATTCCCCCATTCCCTACTAAACTAAGAACCAGACAATTAAACACGCACAAAAGAGACGCGTCATATAGAGGCCTTAACAAGTCTATGCTATAACTATAGTGAACCCGCCAAAATGGTACATAGATAAAATTATTGAAGCCCCTATAGAACATCGTCAAAACCCTAAATCCTAAAACCCCTTAAACCCCTTCAACCCTAAAGCCCTGAAATCCCAAGCCATAAACTAGGATGCCCGGCAACCTAGGAATAAAAAGGCCTCCCTTTTTGGTATTGGGTAACTATATAAGGAACCTATGACTCCAAAACGGGACTAAGGGTACTACTGGGCATCCCAGCAAAACCCTAAACCCTAAACCCCTAAACCCCTAAACCCCTAAACCCCTAAACCCTAAACCCCTAAACCCTAAACCCTAAACCCTAAACCCCTAAACCCCTAAACCCTAAACCCTAAACCCTTGCAAAAGAGACGGGTACCCAACTGTGCTCCTGAGCCGATCGGTCCATTGCATGGAACTGCTCGCCTGAGGGGTACCGGTGCCTTCTTCGGGTTTAAGGTTTTAGGTGTTGTTTTCATGCTTGTTTTTGTTAAGGGCTCCTTTTCGACTGATCCAGGTTTTAGGGTTTAGGATTTAAGGTTTCGGGTGCTGGGGTTTGGGGCTTGGGGGTTTAGGGGTGAGAGTGCAAAGGCTTCTCCGGAATTTCGGGTTTAGGGGTATGGGCTCGGGGTTTGGGGTCATTTCAGGGTCCTTCGGGGTGCTCGGCTTCCTGGTTGTTAGGTTTCGAGGGTTGGTTGCTTAGGAGGTGTTTCGGGTTTGAAGAGCTTTGGTGTTGTTGAGGCTCTGAAAGTGCCTGAGGAGGCTCCATAGTGGTTCCTTTTTGGGGGTTCATATATAGAATCCTATAAGGTAATCCCAAAAAGGAACGTTCATATATAGAACCCTTTATAAGGTAATCCCAAAAAGGAACTGCTATGGAGCCTATGGGTAAGGATTCTATACTTACGCTTATCTATGGGTTATTGGGTAGTAGGCTTTACGGTTCAAGCGCCAGCGGCAGAAGACCCCGATCCCCCCCAAAAAAGCTCCATGTACCTTTATAGTAGATACTTAGGCCTTAAAGGGGTCCCTATATAGGTACTTTAAGGCCTATGTATCTACTATATGGGTACACGGAGCCTTAGGGCCCCTTCATCAGGGTTTTGTGTTCGAGGTCTGCAAGGTTTTGCGGGTAGCTCCAGAGGGTTTGGGTTTAGGGTTTAGGGATACAGTGGTCAGCGACAAGTGCAATCTACTCAGCTGAGAGTACTCGGAAGTTGATGACTTCTACCTGGTATCTCCTACTATTGTAACCCTTGTAATCGTATCCCGTACCTTAGATGCACATAATGTGAAGCCATTTTAAAGCCGAACCACAACTAAAAGCCTATAAAGCCCTAGAATCCATAAACCCTTAACCCAAACCCTAAACCTTACAAGCTCTAGACCCTAAGCCCTAAACCCTGGCCCTGAAAACCCGAATAAAACCCTACCTATAGTCTCCATTATAGTTGCTTTTTTTGGTTTAACCAATTATATATTAAGGATCCTACAAGCTAACCCCAAGAAAGGAGCTACAATGGAGACTATATTCGACCTCCCAATCTACGAGCGCCGGACGAAGCTCGGAGCGGCGGATGCTTTGCGCGTGTTCACGCAGGCCTCGTGGACGCAACCAACATTTTTTAAGGCTCCATGTAGCCATATAGGGGTTCCTTTAAGGGATCCTTTAAGGGATCCTTTAAGGGCTCCTGTAAGGGTTTAGGGTTTAGGGTTTAAGGGTCCAAGTACCCATATAGTATGTACTTAGGCCTGAAGGGGGTTCCTATATAGGTACTTGGGGCCTAAGTGTATATACTATATGGCTACATGGAGCCTTAGGGAATACGAATGACGAAGCACTAACATCAACGCCCGCGTAAACCCGAAACCCTACACCTTCAACTCTAAGCCCTCAACTCTAAGCCGGTCAATAAAACAACATCGCCATCTACAACCTGCTGGTGCTGATCACGTCATACGGTTGATGATACAAATCCTGCATGACCCATAATAAGGAATATACCATAATTCCCATAAAGATTTATATCATCAACCGTACAATGTCATATTTATCGCTGCGGTCGACACCGACTCTTCCTCCTATTTCGACAACCGCTTCGACTCCTCCTCCGCCTGCTCAAGTCGTACTCCTCCCTCCTCGACTAACTGGATGTTTCCGAAAATAGGGGGCCCTAATGTAGTACACTATATAGTAGGATCCTTCTTAAAAGACCCCCCAAGTAAGGTACCCCCATTTTTCGGAAACTCCCAATTACTCCTCCTGCCCACTCCTGTCCTACTACTACTGCTCCTCCTTCTGCTCCTCCTACTGCTGGTCCTGCTCCTATTCCAGCAGCAACGACAACACAGCAACTGAATCAGAGATGGAGCATCTGCACACTGCGTGCTCTGACAACTGAGGACGAGGCCATCAATCGCGGAGACCAGCGCACAGAGAAGTTGATCCTCGGCAGCTTAAGTCGTATCAAGGTTCAGGGCCAGGGTTTGGTTAGCGAGGTTCCCTTTCTGAAATTCCATACAGGATTCTGGACGGTATAAGAGTTCCATTTTATTTCCGGGGGTTGAAGGTTCAAGGACCAGAACTTGGTTTTAAACCTAAGGCCCCAAGATCCGAAACCTTCAGACGGCACAGCTGCCTTTAATTTGAACCCTAAACCGACGCTACATGGGCCGAACTCCAACAATGACAGTGTACGGCTGAGCTCGCAAGTTCGAGTGTGACAAGTTAGGAAGAGCTGTCAGGGCATCACTGCGAAAGCCTGAAAACACAGCACATGTCGCACGACACAGGGATCTATGCAGCAAATCTTCTGGGGTCCACGCCACCTCACCGAAAGCACTCCGCAACTCGGGCTTGCGAAGCTCCTTCTGCAACCACAAACTGCGAACTTTATGACCATGTTTGCCGCAACTTTACTACGTAATTGTAACTGCCACGGAGTCGGTGATCTATGACGCTGGACAAGCCTGCTGCCATCGGTACTGTTATTGTCGTGCATCCGATGCTTGCCTTACACGACTTCCTTTTTGAAGCAAGGCTGTGCACTCGAGTAATAGCCCTGCTAGGCATAGACCCAATTACCCACTCCGTATGTCCCCCTGACCCTTCAAGTAACCCCAAACCCACCTTGTATGGAAACCTTAAACATACGAGGGCCGATAAACCGCTTCTGGATTTCTAGAGCATCTGAGCCCGAGGGCAATGTAGGGGCCGCAATATTGGAAAAAGCTCAAAACCTCAATCCTAAACAATTCAAGCAATATTTTGGCAAACAAACACGAAACCCTAAATCCGAAACTATTCAGACACTTTATTGGCAAACAAACCTTGAACCCTAAATCCGAAGTATATTGGTAAACAAGCTCTAAGCCCGAAATTCTGAACCATTCAAGCAATACATTGGGAAGCAAACCCTACATCTTAAATCCTAAACCACCCAAGCCACATTTTATATATTATTGAATTGGTAGAGAGGCAAACCCTAATCATTCAAGATGCAACTCAGGATTGTATTTCAATGTGCCAGTATAGTATAACCTTCGGCCTGAGAGTAGTTATTATGTAGGTACTTAGGTCCAAAGTATATACTATATTCGGGCATCCGGTATAGTACATGCAGCGCCTTCATCGCCTGCAAGACCTCTTTCAGCTCGCCGCTGCGCAGAAGCTCTGCCTTCGAAGTGTAGGAATTAGGGTCTAGGGTTTACGAAGTCCCACATTCTAGGATTAAGGGTACGGTTTACGGGGCTAGAGGCTTAGGCCTGAAACCCCAAACCCCTGAAGACGTAAAGCCTCTGGAAAGTGCTGAACTCTAAAGACCTTGTGAATGTCGGGATTACATAGGGGATTGCGGGTTCGTACCACAACCGTGAGCAAAACATGTTAGGCTCTTGAAGGGCGAGAAGTCGCAGCAAGAGTGTGTCGTTGTTTCTGCGGCCTACCCTGCAAAACCAGAAACGACACTACAGATTTCGGTATCTTAAAGTAAGAGTCCCATGCCATGCTATTACGTTTACTCATCAAACATCGAGAGACAACCAAAAAAAAGTGCTCTCGAAGAATCCCATACTTGAGTTGTTACATTTGATGGGTCGATTGTAGATGCAGTTGAAAGGACCATCTGCAGCTGACATATGTGACATATAAGTTACCGTCCAGGCCGCTGAGGTACACCGTTCGCACACACATCCATGCTGCATATGTATACTCGTCTACATGTATTCATCCGTAAACTCGATAGATACATAGATAGATGGATAGATAGATAAATGGAAGACAGGCAGATCAATAGATAGACAAGCCCACAGACGGACAGACAAACAAACCGACCGACCGACAGACTGACATAATTAGGCGTTGATGTAAGACTTAAACTCCCTATGGAACTTCGCCGCCTTAGTCACTGATGTCTGAGACAACACACCTTTCAACAATTACTCGGAGCTAACAAGCACGTCTGTCTGTTTTTTGAAGGACTGCGGCTGTATGGGTTTTTCACAGAGGCCTTGGGCTCCCCGGCGTTGGCCAGTTGTAAGCAAAGCACGGTATCCGATAATGAACATACTGAACCTCTACCGGAAAGGCCATGTACTTCAACCCTAAGCCGCACAGCTCAGAGGCTTGGCTCCAAATCACCAAGGCGCGCCTCTTGCTGCAGTTGGGCGATCTTCGGCACGAATTCCGACATGGAGCCTTGTGAAGAACGCATGCTTTAGCATTCATGCTTTAAGGTTTTAGGGTTTAAGGATCAAGGTCTCGGGTTTATACGGTTCAAGGCTTGCGAAGCCTAAAGTTGACAGAGCACTTTTGCATCAGCTCGCACGTGACGTGGGGTTTAGGGCTTAGAGCTTTGAAGGGCGGGTTTATAAATAGAAATTGGTAACGGTTGGGGGTGCCACTAGCTGAACCTGATTTTGGATTTCAGGATAGGCTGGGGCTGGGGGGTTGGGCCGGGGCCTGGCACGTTGCTGTAAAAATGCAGGATTGCACATGGAAACTCAAGCGGCGCCAGGCCATGCAGACATACCCAAGCATGCGCGTGCGCAGACGGACGCGGGTCCGAGGAGACAGTGTGGGACTTCGAAGCCGACAAGAAGGCCTGCGTCTCCGAGAAGGGCAGCCTACAACCTTGATGATGCAAGTCCCTGTCCCAAATCACGTGAGTAGAAGCCGTTCAACACGAAAGCGCGGCGGTGCACCAAATAGGTTAAGAATGAATAGCATCCTGGTCGCCATTTCCGAACGATCCAAAGTGCAGGTCGTGCCTCCTGGCCTGCATTCAGGTATTGAGGAAAAGCAAGCATGCCAAGCCCAGGTTGAGGACACGCACACCAGTGATGCAAGTCCTGGCCCCTGTTCAGCTTGACGATAAGCAACTATGTCGGCCATGCCGGCTATGCCTCCTGGCCCCAAGTCAGGTTGAGCATAGGACAAAAAAATCACCGACCCCACCTCCCGGCCCAACCTGCTTCAGTCTAAGGATAAGCAACCACGCCGGCTTTAACTTTTAGCACCCAATCAGGTTGAGAATAAACCATATAATTAATACCCGCCCCAGCTCCTGATTTCGACCCAGCCAGTGAGATCTCTTCCGGCCTGCAATGCATACCCCGAGTTTGCATTGCACAGCAGAGCGCAAAAGCACAATGATGGTCCTAGACTTGCATGGTGCGTCTGCACGGCTTTAGTGCCACGTTCTAATGGCCAGAGTGGCTTTCTCTTTCAGTTGCATTTTGCAGGGTGAGACAATGTGTCTTCACCTGAGTGTTCTACTGCGAGGGCGTTGTTCCAGTATAGACTCGGCATGACTCGGATACACAAGGCTATAAAGTTGCACGCTTGGCCACGCGCCTCACTTCCTCCTGCTTCTGAGCTTCTGTTCCGGAGCTCTGCCGTTTGCCTCCGTCTTTCTCTGTTCTCCAAGTTCTGCAGGTTCTTGATACAGAAGCGTATATTCTTCTTAAAGTCGGCGGCAAAGTCATGCAGGTCGTTGTCCCAGAAAGTTGGGAGTCGCCTGCCGAAATCTTGATCACCTTTCAGTCTAGGCGCTAGCATCGGGTACTTTGAAAAGGCCCCGATCAGCGCCAGGTGATCCAGTCTGAGGACCCAGTCTGAGCGTCGCGAAAATTCTGCAACGGTCCGCTTCAGATTTTCGGATAAGCGCGACCATTTCTGTGCGGCGGGGCCAGTGCAGATCGAAGATCAGAGGAGCATCGATGTATATAGGAATAGTTAACGGTCTGGGTGCCACCGAAAGTTCTCGACTCCAACATGATGTCGGGGCTGGGCTGGGCGGGGGGCTGCTGGGGCTGGGGGTTGGTGTGCAGACAAAGCCGGCGTTGCGGATATATGGTGCCGATCTTTTGGGCAAGGCTGGCCGGGTTTTAGTGTGGAAGGTCCTTCGAAGCCACAGGCCCTATCTTTTCGCGGTCACTGCCAGTGCCCAAGTTTGGGAGGCTTGTCAGAAAATGGTCTAAATTGGGGCGCTGCTCGGTTGGGCTGCGGACGAAAACTCCCTGGGTTGACGGAAACGTTTTCCAATTCCAACCATGACCTGGCATTTGGGGGCTGGGGCTGGCCCGAAGCTGGGTTCGGGCTGGGGCTGGATGGCTTTTTGTACTTTTTCAGGTGTCTGGGTTGTTTTTGTTGCACTTTGCTGTCCTTTTTGCGGGCTGGCGGCTGGGTCGAAATTGACGATTTACGGGCTTCAAGCCCACAAAACACACAGCTTCAAGTTATTCCATTCTTGAGGGCTTAGGTATTTGGCTTGTGGGTTGAAAGTTTGGGGCAATTATTGGTTTAGGGGTTTAGAGATTTAGGATTTAGGAGTTTCAGGGTTTAGGAGTTTAGGGTTACAAAGGAAGGACGCCTCTGGACCCGTCCTAGAGGCCACTAACCTTTGCGCGTCTGCAGGCCCCTGAACCGGCAAAGAACAATATACCTGTCGGGTATCATGGGGAACTAAAGGTTCACCTTTTTGGTTGTTTGGGAATATAAAGGGACTATCCCAAAAAGGTTCAAGGTTACCTACTCTACTACTAGGACAGGATGGAGGGATTTCGCTTCGGGTTCAGGGCTTTTGCCTAGGTTCTCCAGTAGGGCCTCAACAACAAGGGTACCCTTTGTCCTACTCTAGCTACTATTCGGTTGTATTAATATGAAGGAACATCCACAAAAAAGAAGGAACCCTAATTTATAGAACTGCCCATGTATCTGAATCTGCAAACATGTTCTCACCAAAGTAACTACCTATATACCCCAAGGACTAAACCCTCAACCTTGAAACTTAAAGACTACCTATACTCTCCATTGTAGTTCCTTTTTTGGTTAAACCGTTGTTATAGTTAGGATCCCATAAGGTAACCCCAAAAAGGAACTACAATGGAGACTATAGGTACAGCATCCGGGGTCCCGGACTCTCCACGTCATCGACACCCTCTGGGACGGTCGGAACAAGCCTCGGAATCTGCGAATCGCACGTTCCCAAGGACCCGGGCTGGGGATGGGACCACAAAACAGCAACCCATAGGACCTAACCCACAACCTGCGGACTTATCCATGCCTTGCAGTGAATCCCTGGGTACTGCTCAGCGCCGCTGTATATAAAGCCCCGAAAACCCTGATATAAATCCATACGGAGGGCCCGGATCTGGAAACAAGACATGCAACCACTGGGGGACAGAATTCAAGGCTTGGGTAGCGGTTGGGATGAGTCAGTCGACCACGAGAGCCAGCCTAACCTTAGATATGCATCCAGGGGGGTGTACCCTACATTCCTAAACCCTACACCCTAAGCGGGGAATCTAGGATGAGCCCCCTGTGACATCACAGAGTTTTTGCGAACAGGGGCACGGCTAGGGTTGCAAGAATGATGCTGCTCTCCGTGGATTTGGGCTCCTTTGTCGGACTACAAGAGCTTAATGACGAAAATGCTTGCTGGCGAAGCCTTCTTAGCCGCTAGCTGCATTGCACGCAGCTTTTACCAGAATCAACCCCTGAAGAAACCTTCTCGCAATGATCACTCCTCATGTTAAAAGCTGAGCTCTCCGCTGTGCACTTCCGGACGTGGCTTGCAAGCCTGTTTTTTTAGGGTTTAGCTCGTAGGGATAGTCAGGGTGCTCCACTTATTCTCGAGTTGGCGACTCAAGGTACCCGGGTGACTGAATAATTCGTCAAACTCCAACATGTACAGACGAGAAGCAGATCCGAAGGAGTAAATCTCCTGCTGAACGACATGTTTGCCTGTCAGCTGAAAAAACCAATCAACTTATAAGAAGTTGCCATACCAAGACCTATCCCGCGTGGCACTACGATCTTTGCAGGTCAGCCGGCAGTGGTTCAACCCTTGTCTCATCGGAAAATGTCGGGTCTTCCAGAGAAATTCACTCCTTGGCGCAAGTGTCTGATGTGTCTGTGCCGGGGAACTACAAACTCCGAGTGAATTTCTCGATCCTGGAACCTACACAGAACTCAGATTCCTCTGACGGTTTGGTGCTTGTGATTCTTGGGTTCGGGTACACCTAGCGTGCGACTACCCAACAACTCCTGAATTGCCGTGGCTCCTGAACGGCGCTGTCGGCGCTGGGAGACACCTCGTCACATCTGCGTTGGTTTCTCAAAGACTCCACACTTAATTACATAAGTTGTGGCTGGGGGCTCCCTGAGTTGATGCGTGGATTTTTGGGCTATCTTTTTTTTTGGGATGAAGAGACACACTGCTGCATTTCTCTACTGCGTGATGCTCGAAAAAAATGGAGCTGAGAAGAAGGGTCAACAACCGGAATCGGGGTTGCAACTTCGGAGCATACTCGAGCCCTGGAGCTGCTTATGGGAGACTCTAGCAACGTTAGGGGGCATTTCAGGTGGGTGGAGACGCCAACGCGCTTGTCAATGCCTGGCAACACACGCAAACGTGACGAAATGCTGCACTGCTTCGGTCACCTCTACATCTGTGGAGCTCTCTGTCCTGCCCTGAAGTTTTTGAGCCATGATCTCACAGCCCGAGGCTAAACCCCTGCGGCTGCATGCACCGCTTTCGCTGACTAATGCCACAAAACCCTACATTTGCCAATAGATGCACGAGTCCACTTAACTCAAGACGGGATTCTAAAAAACGAAACTTCTCGCAAACTTCACTCAGCAGCAAAACGACCATAACATAAGCTCTTGGCGAAACGACTGTAGGAACGCTTCTCAAATACTCCTATCTTACATACAATCCGTTGTGAAACGAGGGTTTGGGCGAAACCACGAACCTGATGAGCAAGCTACCCGCACTTTTGGAGATCGTAGTTACGTAGTAGTAGTAGTAGTAGTAGTAGTAGTAGTAGTAGTAGTAGCAGTAGTAGTAGTAGTAGTAGTAGTAGTAGTAGCAGGAGTAGTAGTAGTAGTAGTAGTAGTAGTAGTAGTAGTAGTAGTAGTAGTAGTAGTAGTAGTAGTAGCTGTAGAAGGAGCAGGAGCACAGTGGTAGTAGCAGCCGCCCAAACAACAGGGGTAAGGACAAATATGACCATCAGCGGTACGGTCATCATCACCATCATGGTTACCATGGTCACCAACACAATCTGCATCACATCATGTCCACCAACTTGTACCGACTCATACCAAGGACTGACACCACAACGAGTTTGGTTCGGCACGGAATGCATGCTTCGCAGAACCCTCAACCCTACACCCTATGTAGACCCG